ATGTTTTTGAACATATATCAATATGTTTTCATTTGAGATACACAAACAATAGTGCCTTATTAGCCTCTTGACGAAGGATGAATAATTACTGACACTGGTGCGATACTGTGTGGCCAACAAACAAACGTTTTTATTCTTTATTCTCTTGCATAGACTCATCCAAGACATGGCTTACTCGTTGTGTTGCATAGTTTTCAGATCTGTACCAACGAGCTGTGGCGCTTGAATTACTTAATATGGATGGGGGAACTGCCGAGGTTCTATTCGACTTCACAGCGACAAATGATTTACAAATCGATCTCGTGAAAGGAGAAGCAGTTCGAGAAGGTATGTGGGGCTTTGTAACTGAGAGTGTCTAGCGTTACCCCCAAAACAGGAATGTGATTAAGCCATTGCAGTCGCAGTGACTACGTGTGTTTTCAATTGTGGCCCATTCAGGGAAGGGTACCAGGTGAGACAAACAGTGTAGTCGGAAATATTTGACGGTACTTGTTATCAAGTAAACAATCCATAACAATAACTATATATTTAGCGGTATGCCTAACCCTGTTGGGAGGGGGGGAGTTTTTTTTTTGAATTTCTTACGCACCTAGCTGCTCCGGAACCATAGGTCACATCCATCAGCAGAGCGTAGCTTATAGTCCATGCAGTCATTGAATATTCAGCGATCTTCACGCAGCAGTATACTTTATCTCTACATGCTATGCTGAATGCTTATTTATACTAACGAGTCATGCATAGCATGGATAAAGCATACGGATACGACTAACTGGTCGATTCTATACACAATTGTGGAGTGCAGTATCGACTAATTCAAGAGTTACGATGGAGAACGCTAGATGTTCACGAGTGCTTGCTATCTCAAGGCTATCACAACATCGGACGAATGAGTTCTCCACGCACTCACGGGAGTTGACCTAAGCATATGGGTCACCTTACTATACAATTGGCGTATGTACACAACTCACGCCATCACGGATGTTGACCTAAGCATATGGGTCACCTTACTATACAATTGATGTATGTACATATAACTCACGCCATCACGGGTGTTGACCTAAGCATATGGGCCACCTTACTATACAATTGGTGTATGTACATAACTCACGCCATCACGGGTGTTGACCTAAGCATATGGGCCACCTTACCATACAGTAGGTGTATGTGCATAACTCACACCATCACGGGAGTTAATTTAAGCATATGGGCCACCTTACCATACAATAGGTGTATGTGCATTACTCACGCCATCACGGGAGTTGACCTAAGCATATGGGTCACCTTACTATACAATAGGTGTATGTACATAACTCATGCCATCACGGAAGTTGACCTAAGCATATGGGTCACCTTACCATACAACTGGTGTATTACATAACTCTACTACCTGTCCATTCGAGCATACCCCAGGTGCACCTTTCACACAGTTATAGTGTAATCGCCACGGTCGTGAATGTGCTACCGATATGCACACGAAACCTGACAGCTAGCTCTGACGCTTCCGCACAGATTAGGAAAGCCTCCATTTGGATACTACACGAAATTTGTAATGTACAGACTTCCTCGCTATTGCTTGAACGCAACAAGTCTATTGTCAATCACCTCGGAGGGTTATTCGCGTCATATCTTACATTCTGCACGTGTTCTTTTTCATACGACAGTTGTGCACACGATCCTCGACGGTTGGTATCGCGGCACTATCACACGGACTGGTACAAAGCACATTGGGCTGTTTCCGATCATGTTTGTGCGTGTTGATGCGGGTGTGGAGTCGGCAGCCACGCACCTCAGCAAAGATTGTAAGTGGACTGCTGTGTGTGTATAGATCGGCACTATATGATTCAACGTGGTATGTCACCATACTCTGTGGGGTCGTTATCAGCCA